ATATTGAATACAAGCACCCATCGACGAAAGTAGATTTTTATAAGAAGATATGTTTTGAGAACGTGTCAATAGTTTTCTTCCAAATGAGAGAACGATCGTTCTAACTGGATTTCTAATAGAACTCATTTCAATCTAATATTCTATCGATAACGGTAACAATATTTAAAAAAAAAATGTAATAATAATATATAACCATCAATTACTTTAAATAATGCCCAACATAATTTTCAAGCAGATCTTTTATATATTTTTGAGATCAATTCACAGTTTTTCTCGCCATCAAAATTTAGAATAAAAGAAAACGCGAACAGCTTGAAATTTCCAGCAAATTAATTTTTAGGCACATTGAATAACTTATTATCTTACGAAATTCAAAAATACGAGTTTAATATTCAGTTTTCGTGAACTCTAAATACTATAATAAATTAATAGCGACTAATTATATAAAACTTTTAGTTGACTATAGATATCTTAATGTTTATGAAAAGAATGTATGAAATCTGCAGTTGGAATTCATCGATGTTTTTGAATTTCCAAAATGTGTCTGAAATTTTAGTTACAAAATTTATCAATCATGATCATTTTTTCTTAATTTGCGATCATAAATAAGTAATATAGTATTTATAATTAGAATCATTTTTGAAAAATAACATATTTTATAAAATACATTTTTGCTCAGAAAATATTCTAATTTCATATACATATATTTATGATTGCTAATTAACAAAATAATGATTATGATAAATAAATTTTAAAATGATAAAAATCAGAAAGCATGAAATTTCATTATAAAATTTTTAGACACATTAATTAAATGATTATCTTCGGAAAGTTACAAATATGGTAAAAAATATTTAAAAATATTCAGATTCTATTAATTTTATTAAATAGCGTTTCATTATCTACAACGTTGAATTAATTGAAATTTATTGGTGGCGTAATAGGTTCGGACGTGGGCCGGCACCAATTAGTTCGGGGTTTGACGGTTTGATCAAATCCGATATCAGGCAGCATGATTTTGTACAAATTTGTACTTGAGGTAATAGATCTTAATATAATTTCAAGTAAAAATTGCATTTTGTGGGCTTAGCTGCATATAAGAAATATATACGCAAAAACTATTAGATAAACATAACAAAACAATACATAAATTAACACAAAAAATAAGAGTGGTTGACCACTGGGTACAATATATCTAGATTTAAATGTACGCCAATAACTTGCCTATAGAATACGTAGTTTAGATTGCTGTTGGAATAAAATAAACAAAAAAACTGAAATCCATAGGCTATTATAATAGTTATTCAATAGATAATAGTGTAAAGTGACCAATGGTTGACAGTCCCGGATTTCCACCTTGTGTCCCGAGTTCTTCTAAAAGCAATATTTGGCCCGGATTTAGATCTTTTGTCCCGAATTATCTTGGATTTTCGAAAAGTATAGGTTTAAATTGAATCTTTGCTCTTACTTGATAATAAAATTACAACTACCCATTAAATATTTCAAAAAGTTATTCACAACTAGTATGCTTATATCATAATTTGGAACTTCTATTTTCAATATTACGAAAATTAACAAAAATTAATGAAAATGAACTGCCCGGAATAATTGCTAATTTTTATTTCTATAGTTATAGAGAAGAAAATTGAACAAATTTTTATAATAAGATTGAAAGCTGAAAAAACATACAGATACAAAAATATAAGATAAAATATAACTTATAACCAAATAATGAAGAAATTAGTCAGTAATTCTAATTAAACAAAAAAAAACTCATTTAAAAAGACAGATTTTTATTGCATTCTTAAGTAGTATTTGTTAATTTAAAATCATTTTAATTTTTTTTGCATTCAAAATATGGTCACCTTATAATAGTGCCAATAACCAAAATAAAGCAATACAATTCATTTCACTAAACTTTTATCGATTGCTCGCAGAGAAATTATTGCAATGCAAAAACATCAACCCTTTGAAATTAATGGTGCAGAAATCCAATAACTTAACACCTAGTGAGCAATGTTTGCTGAGGCATTAAACAAAAACACCCCGAAGGGTGAAAAGCACTCGAATGATAATAAGTTGTGTGTAACACTAACTTTACAATTGTTTGTATGGATTATAATTAAAAATATTTAAATAAAATTTTAATATCATTAACATTTATGAAAGAAGAAAGTACGATTAATTAGTATATCTTTAATACATACCTTGTTAAAATTATATTACTTATTTCAATAAATTTTATATAATTTGTTTAAAACAGTTTATATGTCTTTAAAATTACACAAATATATTGCGCTGAACACCCTTCAAACTATTGAAGCAACAGATGTCCGCGCACCACCTCAGACAATTTTGTAAACAAATTTTTAGCAAATAATGCGTGTCGTTATTTTAGTATAAAAATAAAGCACAAGTGTTATTTTGCAAAATTTCGATACTTTGTAAAGCCAGAATTTCTGTTATGTAAATTTTAGTGTTATAATGATCTAGTTCGGAAATTGCACTACCTCCCGCAGCCATCTTGCGTTTTGTTTTGACCCTTCGGCGGACAACGCCTGCGCATTTATTCAATATGTTAAAATAAATCGATAATATTTCTTGTGTATATTATGCAAATGGCAAATTTTATTTATAGCGTATGCATTCTGAAATGGACTTGCATCAAATGCATGTTTTTTTCATCCATGCTTTTCTAAAATGCATTTCGTAAATCTTATGCATAACGCAAAAAATTGTGCAGACTTTCGATGAAAACCTATTCGTGTTATAAAATAAATGCGAAGAAATAAATTAGTCATTTCTTTAACTATAAAAATAGTATAATAAAGCTGGAAACATTATGATTCATAATGTTTGTTTAATTTTTGAAAATCGCGATCAATCGATTAACTGGAGTTAATGCAATATCGGCAACCATAATTTGCTATCCACGTATTATAATTATGAACATAGACCTATGTGTATATTTTTAATATAAACATATGAATGTATATAATTATTGCACAAATACGTAACTTACGATTGCAAAATTTATTTGTGTATAATTTATAAACGCGAACTTTGATTACTGATATCTAAATTTTATGAAATAATACAATATTTTTAGTTGTATAGAATATATAATATATTGTAATTTTCTATACAAAATTAATAAGTGCTATTAGGCAAAACACAATTTCGATAAATTAATTGAAATCATTCGAATGATTTTTTATTTTTATAAAAATCAGTTCAAAAGTTTTTAAAAAAGCGAAATTCAGACTTTGTTTTGGATTTATTTTTGTGATTTAAATTACTTTTAAAATTTAATGTATATAATATAATTTTTGAGAATTTATTTTGATATCCGTACGTTTCGGCGATAGAAAGAAGCGGCTCAGCAGATCGTCGTACAAAACTGACAAACGATAACCCTCATCGAGATACATCAAATGGCTTTCAAATTTCTGAAATCGGTTCAGGCGTTTTTGAGAAAACGTTGATCAAAGGTCTAATTTTGACAAATGCCAAAAAACGATACTGATTTTTGCAAACTTTGACGAATTGTTAAAGTTAAACGAGTTGTCGTAGTGTCGTAACATTTCAGTATGATCTATAAGACTATGGTATCTAGCGTCAAAAAAAATCATAAAAATCGTCGAAAAACATTTTTTTAACTATTTAGTACAAGAAAATAGCCCGGCTGATCTTTACCAAAAATAAATCAGATCGATTCCCAACCAATATCTTTCGAATAGTTTTTGAATTTTCAAAATCGATTCAGAATTGCGGGCTAAAACGACGAAAAAAAATTCACTTTTCTGCGATTTACAAAGAAACGGTTCGGCCGATTGTAGCATAAAAAAACGCTAGTCCTCATCAAGATACATCGAATGGCTTTTAAATTTTTGAAATCGGTCCAGCTGTTTTTGAGAAAACGTGGACTTACGGCAAAAAATCACACACACACACTTTTCCCAAATTTGGTCTCATTCGATTCAGAATGGCTTGAAACTTCGATAAAACATAAAATTAGCGAATCGGATTTTTTATGAAAACATCATAAACTTCTCCTTCGGGAAGTTAATAAAAATACATTTTTTGAAGGAAATATATGTAACTGAAGATATTTAAAAAAAAAACAAATAATCTATTTTCACAACTCTAGAAATTCTAAGAAATTGTATAAAATGAGTTGAAATGATTGAATGTATGAAAGTTTTCCTGCATAAATTATTTATAACAATTATATTTTGTTTAAAATTTAGCTTTTTGTTACTTATTACCCTATTATCTTATAATAAAATGTTTGAAAATCATAGTTCCCATAAAATAAATTATCTATAGTATTTAATAATTAACAAATCATTATATGGGATTTATTGATCCGATTATTTGAAATTTAAATTCAGATTGGGATTCAAATATTTTAGAAACAACTATTTTTAAAAATGCCTGACAAGAGCCGGAAGTAATATATATAGTATATATATATATATATATATATATATATATATTACTTAATATATAAATATTAATATATTATTATTAAATAATAATATATTATTATTGGCTTTTATGGCTTGCTTGGGAATTAATGATCAAAATAATTTAAAAAAAAAAAAAAAAATTTAACATTTTGTGGTTTAGGTTTCTGGAAATTCTAAACTAAATTCATTTTTTTATTTTACATATCCAAATTTAAAAAGAATCTTATTTCTTGAAAACAATTTTCAAACACTTTTGAATATTTATTAATTCGCTGTTGTCCTCTTCCAATAAATCAAAAATCGTTGATGAAGATTTCGAAGGCATAGGATTCAGTTTTGATAACTAAAAATTCAAATATTTTATACTTAAGTATTTTATTATAACTTGTTTTACAATATATTAGTATAAGAAATATATTTATTTTTTCTTTTAGATCTAGATATCACATGCTTCAACTTCATCATGTTGCATGATTTGCAAATGTATAAACTCTATATTAATAACAAAGACTATAATTACATAAAGGATACAATAAATCTAAATATAGAATATATAAGGCTTTTAGCCTATAACAAAATATCTCTTCATATAAATATCTATTAAAATTATGGTCAATTATTAGTAGAAATTTTAGAACTCTTCGCTGCTACCTCAGCTAATGTAGAAAGGTCCGATAGATAAGTTCTTTCTTGGAAGGCCATATTTTTGTATTTTATATCATAAGAGCTAGGATCACTAAATTCTAAATGTGTTATTCTTTGTTTGACTGCTTTACGTTTTCTACTTCCAACAGCAATCTCCGTCTTGTTGATCTGTGATGTGTCATTAAAAGTATCCCTTGGTATAACATTCGAATTAATAATTTTATTATCACCTTCATCTAATTTTTGTTTAACAATATGTTTCTTTATTTGTTTCCTCGTGTTTTTATTCTCTTTTTTCTTAATTAAAAATTCATCCAAATTCAATAAAGGTAAGGCATTGATCTTGCCATCTAAATCAAAATCAGAAGGGTGAAAAAATTTACCCTTAGATAGTAATGCATTATCTTCTTCAATATAGGCACACATTTTATCATCATCACAATATTTTAATATATCATTTTGGTCATTCGATTTCAATTCATTTCGATCGTTATCTGCATCAACTACTTCATTACTATCGACAAAACTTTTAGCATCATAATATAATTTATCAGCCTCTTCAGAAGTATTCGATAGTGAAATACTGGTTTTGTTCATTGTTGTAGGTTTTGATTTTGTATTAATAAGTCCCTTATTCTTAAATTCTTCATACCTCTTTCCTTTGCATGATCTAGATGACTTTTTGGGAAAATATAAATCACAAGTTTCGTAGCTCAGGTTTGTTTGACTATTTGGAAAAGAATCAAATTTTTGCTTTGGTTTGTAATCTCGTCCTATATTTAAATCTTTCTTTAGTTTAGTTTTATGACTTGGTTCGGAAGCTTTGACACTTATTTCGTTAAAACTAATCTTTGGTCCATTGTATATATAAGAATGATTATTATCCAAAACTTTTTGTTCTTCAAAAACATTCATTATGAATGTGTTTGCTTCTTGTAAAGCGTGTTCTAATTCCTTAACATTATTTTTATGTAAATCACTCTTTTCAGTAAAACTATTATTATTGTTCTGAAATTCTGCATAATCACCCCCAGTTCTTTCCAACACATATTGATTATCATTTTCATTATTGTTATTGCAACTGGTATCAAATAATTTTCTCAAGTTTCCTAACTGGTTTTCATCAGCTAATTTTCCTGGAGAAAATATATTGTTTATGCGGTGTGGATCTTCTAATTTAATGCCGTGAGAAAAATTTTGATCCCATTTATTTTGATCCTGTCTACCCAATGATGGTGTTTCTGATGTAATGGTATTTGATGCATTGTTAATAGTATCCGATGCTTTATTAACAAATAATTCTTCATTCTTCACATTTTCTGGTTGAATTGATATTAAACGAAGTGATGGAGCTGGTAATTTATACCACTTAAAATCTGGATTTGCATTGAAAAAGGCATCTTTATACTGAAACAATTATGACATTAATATTTAAATATTTGTAATCATATCTGTTAATTCAAAATTGTTAATTACCTGTTTTGCAAGATTTGTGTAAGCAAATTTTTCATTGCTTTCTAATCCAGCCCACCATTCTCCAAGAATTTTAGTGATGCATCTGTAGAGATAAACAAATATCTATATAATATATATATATATATATATATATATATATATATATATATATAATACAGATAGTTCTAAATATATAAATATGTAAACACAATTATATACACTTATTAGTTAAATTAAAACAATTATCAGTCATATTCTTAGCATAATTCTAATCTCAGAGACACAATGAAATGTTAAGTTTACTAAAATTTATTAGATTAATAAATATTTGATGATTATGGCCTCGCACATATTTATATATGTCATAAAAGGAATATTTATGCCATTAACAAATACTATATTTTAATTAAGTTTTTCACCTGGTCTAACAAATCAATAAGTCCTGACACTGGCATTACTGACTCTACATTTAACTTATTAATTTATTTACGACAAATGCCAAATGATAAACAACTAAACGAATATTATATTTAACATTATAAGTAATGTTTTATAAAAATATTAGGATAGTGGGGAATATATATAATAGTTATACCTATCTCATTTAGCATGTTATTATATGAAATAATCAAATTAGGTGAAAATTGATTAAGAATTAATTGTTTATACCTGTTTTCCAAATTTGGGTATCGTTCCTTAACAACATTTCTATGCCGTTTGCAAAATATTAAAAAAGCATTCATGGGCCTACGGGCATGATGAGAAGGAATTGCTGTTTGAGTTTCTGTAGCCATCACATCTTATATTTACAATTGGTTTTAAGAAATCTATATTATAAAAAAAGTAATTAGTATGACATATGGAATCAGTATCAAATAAAAAGTTGTTAAAAAGCATAAAAAATAAATAATATTGTTAAAGAAAGCTTTAAACACTTTCATTCAATTCAAAATAAATTACTAATTAACTTGCACTAATTATACAACACATGCATTAAAGTTTTATCTCAATTGCACAATGATTAATCACTTTATGATCTAATGTATTTGCATTAAATCACACAACTGAATAACTGTTGACATTTACACATTATTTGTGTGCAAATCCAATATGTATTATATCTTTTTCAACAAGTAATAATTTACTAAACTAAATATTAATTGAAAATGCTAGTGTAAATGACGCACCTCCTTTTTCGCTATAAACTGAATAAAATTCAAGGACATTTGGCAATAACATAACGAATACACCAAGAACGATTACATACAAAACCGCAACACGTAATTATGTAAACATGAATTGTAAGTTTGAAAATTGACACTTATTATAAATGGACAGGTAAGCTCTAAAGGTATTTAGTGACTGCGACGATTGTTCTACGATTGTCGCTATTGAAATAATTCAGTTTATGAAAGTTCTTCATGGTTTTGTTTGCTTTTGACATATATCCAGAAGCAATGTTATCAAATCGTAAATATCAATTTACAAACATATGAGACGAACACATGCAAGAATTCGCACGTATGCGTGCATTCGGCATGTAGAAACAGTGCCGAAAAGGAACGAATGTCATCGGCGAACGCCGATGTTTTCAATCATGTTGTGTATACTTGTCAAAAAGCAGGGTTGCCAGGTGAGAAAATACTGATCACAACAGTATGGTGTTGCCGTAATCAAAATGGTTTGCCTCGTCGGCGAATACGATGACAATTCAAATGCAAAATGTCGGTTGATAATGTGTAGCCTAGACAATATAATAATAATGGTGTAGTGTAGTGTGAATGAATTGATCGCGTACATTCGAATGTGATATTTTTTTAGTGTATTTGAAGTTGCTACAACTAAAGATTTAAGAGATGTATGGGGAAGCAATTAATTGATCAAATTTGAGCAAGCTGAATATTTCTACTTGAATAACTGTAAGTACCTTATGTAAGGCTAGCTGTGTATGACATTTTGTTTATATAAATTCTTAAAATTGATGTTGATGCCTTTATTTTCCGAGTTCCTATATTTTCTATATACAGGTTTATTTAAAATTTTTAATTAAATACTTATTTATCGTTTATATTTATAGTTTATTCACAACAATTGTATATATTTTATGTTTTTTAAATAATTTTTATACTTTAAACAATAATTTCATCTTTTGAATATTATTTTTTTCTTTTTCTTCTCACTATAAATATTTATTTGTTACATAATTATGTGATATTGCAATCCTAAATTAATTCAAGAATTTTATTTATAATTTTAATTGTGCCACCATACTTTACATTTGAAATTCAAACTATTACTTATTGTTGCTGCAATATTAATATCATGGCAAAAATAACCAATAAATTCATTTTTATATCCTTTTAATTTTTGTCAAATTTACCAAAACTGAGCAAAAATATATTTTTTGCTTATAAGCTTAGAATTTTTGTTAAATCTTCATACTATGCAAAATTGCAGATTATTCAAATAATTTAATTTATCATAAATAGTAAAAACTTCAATTAAATTAAATTCGATTTAATTATTAATTCAACTTAACCATCTCATGTTTTGTTATTGAATGCGTTGTTCTATCAATTTTTATTATTGGATTAATTTTTATTATAGATCAATTTTCATTATTATATTTGCATAATATTACAATGTTGTGTGATACTGTGCACGAATTTCAAATTATAAAATATTCAAAAGTATCATTTTTTTTCAACTTACTAGAAACACTTTAAGTTAAGTTTATTGGCGTTGGCCCTTCTTTTAAGTTTCTTCAAATATTGTCTTGCTTTACTTATAATGCCCTATTTTTAGTTTAAACTAGAATTTAAACTGATGTATATAATTTATAAATCAAAATTGTCCAATTTGCAGTTTAATTCTTAGTTCGATATTTAACTAGACTTGTTTTGAAGATTAAGTTAAATACTTGAAAACTATTTTTTACATTATTCATTCAGCCGAGTAAAGAAATATGTAATGCTAATACTAAACACATCTATTACATATATGATATACAAACATAATATAATATTTAAGAGACACACTAACACTACTGTTCACAACAAAAAAATATATATTTATATTATTCTCTTTATCATATATATCACAATATTAAAGGGACAAACTACCATTATTATTTATAATAAAAGAAAATATAATAACATTCTATTTTGGGTAATATAGGGTAGGGCGGGGCACAAAGGTCCAATTTGACTTTGCAATTATATTGTGAAAACCAAACCAACTAAATCACAACAAATAACACATATCAAACAAACAACTATCTGACTATGTTGAGTACAACGCTAATTTATCATTGTAGAAATGTATTTTATTGCTGTTTTTCACAAAATTGTCGCCTGGTTCCTTTTACTCCATAGGTAGAGTGAAATAGGACGGCCAGGAGGAAACAGGTCCAATGTCCTATTTTTAACTTTAAAGGTATTTTACTAAATAATAGCTACATTATTCAACCTGAAAAATTTCATGGGTACATTTTTTACAGAGATAACACTGAATATAATATATTCTTGTATCTGGTATTTGGCCACAAATATTTATCAACAGAGTGGGAATAACTATTTCTGACATAATTTATTTTTGATTGTTTACACCTGTGCCAGGACTGAGATTTAGTTGGTCTTTTTTACCCACCCACGTGTAAGTTTATATAGAGATTATATAAGCAAAATTGTTGAAACTAGCTAAAAACTAACTATACATCATATGAAACAAATAAATAACTTATATTTAAAAATTATATTAAGGTCTCGTAAACTAAACAATAGTACTCACAACCAAAAAAACTAACAACGAGAAATACTTTTGTTATGGATTTTCAGACATTGCCGTTTATCTCCTGATAGTAACGTCCTACGCATCCAGGTGATGGCTAGTTATACATCTTTTTTTCTCTACTTTTAAATATTGCTGTTAAAAAATTACTTGTTTTTCGGTAGTGCCTTTTTGCTGCGGACCTTTGAGCCCCGCCTAAAGCTGTTTAGGTGTCATGATCCTTGTTATAATATTTTTAATTGATGGTTTGACAATGCTTGACTTGAATACATTACTAAAAAAATAGTGGTGCATGGCATCGTTCTTTAAGGCACATTGCACATTGATGGCTTGACAATGCTTGACTTGAATACATTACTAAAATATAGTGGTTTGCTTAAATTTTCGTACCGTGATTTGGAATGTTTGAAGAACATTTTTTATAATTATTGATTTTTTGAAAATATGTAATTGTTTTATTTTTTTTATGATCGCGCTACGTGGCTGTTTTAAAGACGAAATATCGATCGAAGCACCGCGTTCTAGTCTTACGGTTAAAGATTATAAATCCAGGTACGGAACCCATAGAAATGAAAACAAAGTTTGTACTTATTATTAAAATTTCTATAAATTATCTGATAATTTGATGTCCAATGATGATTTTTGCCCGAAAATGGCAGCTTTTATTGAATTGTAATTAGATTTATTGGATCTCCAAAACCGCTGGACTTAAGTTCCCAAAAATTTAATCAATTTTTCAGTCTGTCAATACAAGTAAAAAATTTTGAATCATTCAAATCGGACGCTCCGTTCTCTCAAAAACTGAATTGACTTTGATCGATTTTTCGATAGATTTTTTTGCGATTATTATAACTTACACTACGGGAAGTTAATAAACCCTTTATAATACATTCAAAAGCCATCCAGAGGGCTAATCAATGAAATTTCTATTATACTCGTGTCGTGTTGTTTTCGCTCTATCAGAAACATTGACCACATCGTCCACATCAACCCTAATGAAGCCCGCATATCACGAATACGTCGAAAGGACATTTCATGGGTATCATTTCCGGACATGGGATATCATCGTAATATCTCATATTGCATGAAAAATGTCCCATATGCAACCCATGTCAGTAATAAGAACGATAGCGCTCGTTAAAGTATATTATGTGTGTAAGATGTGCTTTCGAACACCCCGTGAATAAACAACCGTCGGCGACCCGTAAAAAACGTCATATTTCAATAATAATATTACTACTGACAGTAATGTCTGACATAATTAGAGTATGTTAATGCATACAGTTTCAAGTGAATTTAATTTTATTCTTCAATTATTATTGAATTATTTATTAACGTTTTGGTTGATCATTTTTTCCTTCTATGAATTATAAAGACTTTGTACATTTTTTCAATAATAAAGATTTTACTAACTGAAGTTCAGTAATGTATACTTGTCTAACATAATTAGAATACGCTAAAACGTGCATATCTTTACGTTTCAAAAGTTTATCACAATTTAGGCATACCTTAGAAAAAATGGATGTTATGATTTTTTTGTAGAGCGAAGGAAATGCATTTATGCATCCCAGACTGTCTTTTGTCTGAATATGTCGGACTCGGTAAAGGCCTCAGCTTTTTCCTTGCCAATGGTCTCAACGGAAAATCGCCATTAGGCATTACTTGTGGGGGGAGGATCTAGAACTCTATAGTGATATGTGTGCAAGTATAAATTTTTGTCAATGTTTTCGGTAGCACCGCTCAACTGATTTCTATTAATCATACATAATCGAATATATATTTTCCCCCTTTTTGATGAGGAGACGTGCTGATTAGTTTTTAGCTAAGGCAGGTCCAGCCGCTTCAAAAATACAGAGTCAAAAGTGCAAAAAATGGCAATTCAGTTTTTGAGAGAATGGAGCGTCCAATTCGAATGATTCAAAAAACATTTCACTTGTATTATTCTATTCTTACTATTATTCACATTTGAAAAAAAATATTTTTTGGTTTTAAATATCAAATCAATCAAAATTTTCAAACAAATTTTAAGTTTTTAATAATCTTAAATTACATTACGGGAAGTTCTAGCAATTTGCTTTAAGGCACGATGTCATGCATTACTGGTTAACAATTTGGTTATTAAAAATGTTTTTAAATAATGTTCATATTACTGATATAAGTTCATTAATGCTAACATATTTAAAATTTATTAAGTAATTTGTATTTTGCTATTTTTTTAAATTATTTTTGTTATTTTTTATGCTTATTTTCAATGCCGCACTGAATATGAGACAAATAGGTCATGGAACATTTGCTAAACTTATCAAAAGTTTATTAATTAATTAATTAATTTTATCACTAAATTACCTAGGTACGTACCTTACTTTTTACTGTTTTTCTTATATCATATTAAGTGCTTTCTTTTCCATCTTATTATGTTTAGTAATAGTGAAGCAACCACTTTTTTAGCAACACTGATCCAACTCAGTTTTCTTTTCATTGTAAATATTCTCATTCTATGCATTGCTTTCCGATTTATGACTTTTCATGCCACAATTTTGATTTCTGAGTTTTTGGAAAGCTTTTTGTAATGAACAGAATTTTGAGAATAACTGCCTCACTACCCACATACCAAAAGGATATAAAGAAAAACATATTTTTGTTAGCCGTTTATAATAGATATTTCGCTTCCTAATTAAGAAAGGTCAGCAAACCGATGTATAACATGTTTGTGATTTCAACATAAGTATATGAAAAGATTATACATATTATAAATATAACCTTTTGGACTTTCATTGACATTTTTCATTACAATACATTTCATAAAATTACTCTGAATAAAAAAATGATTTACTTTACAATTAT